TCAAGTCAACGAATTTTCTTAATTGACATAATGTTTCAAGTTTCGTTCAACAAGATGAAAAAGAAAGACGATAAAGTCGGACCATCCGAGTCGATTCTATTACTGCTGCTAATATAAAACAAAAGACTAAGAGGGAGAAAGATCAAGGAATAGAATGACGGAATGGGTGATGTTGGAAGAGAGACGCAGGAAGAAAATGGGTAGCAGAGGTTCTTGAAATCGGGTTAAGTTGCTTCAAGTGGTAGTAATAACACAGCCATACCTTCAATATGTTTACATGCCTAGTACAAAGTGAATTTAGGTACAGTCTTTCTTTCGATAAAATTATTTGAAGCTGACGTGATATTATTTCCAACTATAATCGATTTGTGATCTACAAAGACGAACTAAGAAATGTTTATTAAAATATCCCTCGATTTGAGAAACATACGAATTATAATATTTTGATTTTTAAGGATAAATCTAAAATAAAGATGGACTAGCAAGTTGTCCACATTTGCAATTTCTTTCTAATTTTATTTCGAATATTTCGAATCGCGAATAAACGAACACATGAAATAGGATAATTTCGAAGCGAAAAAAAATCAAATTACTTACAATACGATCAGTTCAAAATCGAGATCGGAAGATGGAACGATCTCTATGGGGAATAATCTTGACAAATACGTGGAAAATGACGTGCAAGGAAAAGAAAGAATCTGAAAGAAATGCGAGATAGTCGTGCGGATGAAGTAGGAACATAGTACATCGGTTAAAGTTTTAAGCTTTAAAATGTGGCCTGGATAAGAGCTACCAACCAAGTCCACATCTTTTGATTCGAACTTCGAGAAAAGTCGCGTTTCCGGCAAGACGTACATTGATTCTATCTCACTGTCTCTCTTCTTTCAAAGTGTCTAGTCTTCGTCCTATTGTGCAGCTTTTATTCTCTCTCTCTCTCTCTCTCTCTCTCTCTCTCTCTTTTTCTTTTTTGGTCTCTTTTACGGAAGACTCCTTTCTAACCTTCACTTGCTTCCTACGAAAAGGCAGGACTGAGAACGAATGCCCTGCCTCTCGCAGAAGTTCTTCCATTAGCGATAACAATGAAAGATGATCATCGGACCTCTCTCTGATCACTTTCTACAAACATATGCACGCACGACAGCAATAAATTGCCTTCTTAAAATATCTTTTTTGATTTACATCTCTTTAATTTGCGTTTATTTTCACGATTTATTTTTTAGCCCCATATGCTATATTCGCATTAATAATTTATTAAAATATTATTTTATAAAAATCCTGTTATAAACCTGTGTGTAGTGATTTTTCATAAATCTGCTTTTTGGATTCTTACTTACTAGGACAATCTTTTTGTCTGTCCTTTATTCTTTCTTCCTTTCCGTAAGTCATACTTACGGTATATATTAACGATAAAGATTTATTTCTGTTTGGAAAAAGACACATGAACTGTGACAAAGTATTTATAATATCTTACAATACTTACTCGGTGTTATCACGACGTAGAAAACTTCTTTTCTCGAATTTTCTCCTACCATTTACATATAAAGAATAACAGAAATAAATAGACGTAAGTGGAAAAAAAACGAATTTCGCTCCGGTAATCCGAACCGGAAAGCTTGTCCATTAACAGCTTTGCTAATGGATGGGTACTCTCAGTAGCAAGTAATGCAAGAAAAAAAGTCAGTGGACGTAAGCGACGTGTTGTAAAAATGCGAGTGATAATTATCACTGCGGTTCTTCTTCTTGTCTCTCATTTTTTTTCCCCTTCCTTCATCTCCCCTCCATTTGCTGATATTTTTTCTGTCGCAGATAATTTCCTGATATTCGTCCGTTTTTTATTTGATGTCGCATACGGTGTTTTTGAATTTTTCTCGCAGTAGGATACACTTTGCTCGAGAATGTTCTCGAATACGCAATTAGTTAATGGTCGATAAAACCAGCTGCAAAAGACCGTGGAGAACAGACAAAGAGGTAAAAGAGAAAACGAATCCGTCTCGCCTACCTTCTGCGATTCGTTTTCACTCGATTGTTTGTACGTTCTGTACCTCCTCCACCTCTTTCGTTTCCTCCCTCTCTTCTCTACTCTTTCGTTCGCTTCTCTCTCTCTCTCTCTCTCTCTCTCTCTCTCTCTCGGCTGTGCCTTTTCATCGGTCCGTCGAATTGTACGTCGTCGAACGGAATTTCCGGCAAGAGAACCTACCGAAGAGAGGGTCGAAACGGAACGAGAGAGAAGGAGGTGGGAACAGAGGAACTTCATACATGATTTCCCTCGAGTCCCTGAAGTGAAGCATTTCTGGCAATGCGCGCACGTACCAGGAAGGGAGGGGGGAAAGAGAGAAAGAGAAAGGAAGAGAAAGAGAGATGCATGGCCATCGGCCTGCCGCCACACGCGGTATCTCGCTGACAGAGTTGCCCGATCATGCGTACATTACGAGATTTGCGCGCAAAAAAGGAATCAAGGATGGAAAAGGAAGAATGCCGTGTAACGGATCCTGCAGAGAATATTTAAGGGGTGGACCCGTGAGTGGAAGAGTGGGATGAACGGAAGGAATGATCGAAGTTATGCCTTCGCTAGCTATACTATGTGGTTAAATAGAAAATAGATTTTTTAAAAAAACCTAACAATTTTCTATCTCGTTAAAACGTATGTGGAAAATCTATTTATGTCCAACGAATGGGAATCGCGATGATGACTTTTTGCATTTTTATATGAAATTTTAGTACAAAGTATAGTAATATAGTACAGAGTAAATATGTCAATATGTAAATTTAAATATATATTGATAAAAAGATACACACTAAAAAGTTGTCTAAGATATAGTTCATCACAATATTATTAGATTTCTAACCTATTAACTTCAGACCTCGTTAACATTTATGTTAATTAAGACATTATATAATTATAGCTTATGCTTGATAGACGAAAATGTTCTTCTAAGGAACTGCCTTAAGAAGACCGACAGGAAATAACGAAATACTAAGATTTATAGACTTCTATCTCACACGACCTTCTCCTTCAACGATCCGACCACGACTGATTCATTCGTCAAAGAAACAAGCGTAGCAAAGTAAGACGAAAACAAAGCCATCACGTTGCGACATTACGATCTACAATAGATGTTTGTATACATTGTTCTTTCCAAGAAATATTCTTATGTCATAATTTGTACGTCGTAAATAAAAGGTCGGTATTGGTATACTTATATATACCAATCTAGTGTGAGTGACATTTCGATTTTACAATACAATGTTACCTCGTAGTTCATAAAAGTCTTTTCTTTATAATTACACGATTTTAAATTACTTTTTATTTTTTGCGGATTTTCTTTTCTTTTCTCGCCCCTTCTGTCTCTAACTTATCGCACAGCAAGAACTTTCAGATACACGATAAAATAGTATATCCGGGTAGTAGTACTTACATAGTATATCCGGGGTATATGGAGACGATGGACAAGAAGATTAAGCACGCTCGGGTGCGTGGCTACGGATTTAATGGAATCGATGGTAAAAAATTTAATAACGACACTAATTGGCAAGAGGACATTGGCTATGTCCAGAGACTGCGAGCTAGCGCACCGCCTCGTCGATTGGGTCACAAAGCTTTCCCGTCTCTCTTTTCTCCTAGTTTCTTCTCCTTTCTTTGTGTCTAACGTGTGTACACCGATAAAAAACATCCCTTATTAAAAACGTTACGCGCGTTAAAGTGTATGTTTTCATTCGTGCGTCCGTGACATATTCTTGTTTTGCCTTTGACTCTATTTAATTGATCTATGAATAAAATAGTTTTCATTTTGATATATTTCGTACGCACATCATTCGTAAAATCGAAGCTACAGATTTGAGGGAAAGAATCTTGCATTGTTTAAGCATGCCATCTGATAAAAAACAGCACGATTGCTTCATACATTCGGTTGATGATCGTCGTTAGAATTAGAAGTTTTATTTTTCATGAATGAGGAAATATAATACAATGAGCCGCAAAATGAAAATCTCTTTATGCTCTTTCTTCTTCTTCATAGACTTTAATTAATTTGACATAATTGCCAAATCTTTAGGGGTCGCGCAGACTATGCGACGAACAAATTATTGCATCATAAATTTCAGGTAGATTTCTTTCGAATCTATGTTTCGTATATCCATTCTTCTCTCTCCCTCTCTCTCTCTCTCTCTCTCTCTCCCTCTCTCTCTCTCTTACTGATAAAGATGTACCCGTTGAGGAAACGTATACATGCAAAACGTACATAGTACATGGTAGCCCGTTACCACCCCTCGCGAATATGTATGGATGGCATGTCGGTAAACGGGCGACCGGAACGATTAGATGTTCGATCTGTATCAATATTTACTCCGCTTCGCTGCGGCGCGTCTTGCGAAATGGAAGCCAGACTTCCTTCATCTCGACGTGTTTGCTCGTGCCGTGAAGCAGATACGCGGGATTCCCAAGGGAGGACGTGCTAGTAGTCCTACGGACAGGCTTACCTTTCGAGTTACGAACCAACATACAACCAAACAAGTTCCTCTACCTTACTCCTTCAAGAACTTATTCCCTTCTTTTTTCAAAAAAAAAAAAAAAAAAAAAAAACTATCCTTCTTTCTGGTCCTATTACGATCGATTTCACATTGAAATTAAAGAAAAAGAAGATTTGTTATTATTGATTATTTCAAACATCTATTTTCTTAAAAATTTGATGGGGATGTTATTCGTAAACGTTATCCCACGCTGACACAATTAATGTTCATTTTCGTGCGGTGATCTTGATACCCCAGAAAATAATAAGGAGTTTTCCAACATCCTAGAATTCATCGATCATTTTCTCTTCGTCCAATAATCTCCAGTTATGTTTTATTGGTTCGCTTTTCTGGTGCAGACGAAGAATTCTGCTTTACATGTATGTACATCGATGATGAACGATGTTGTTGTGAACTCTGTTCTCACTAGGTGATAGCTTCATTAATCAATTTACGCAAGAAGACGATTCGTATTTTCATTTCTTGAGATTTTGTTTCTTTTTTTTTCTATAGGGTTGACAGTATTGCAACGAAGTTGTCGCCGTTTCGTCATTTATGCTAAAAATAAACCAAGTTAAAAACGCGAATATGAGACAAGTAAAGAGAAGGCAGGTAAAAAAATGTGCCCGTCGACAAGTCTAAAAGGGCTACTGGCTCGTAGCGACGCCACCTCCTTCATAGCTCAGCTAGGTCCGCGCGGCCACGCCGGGCAATTTTTCAATGGCTCCGGCCGAGCTTGAATTCTCGTTAATTTTTACTTTCTCTCGCCATCCGCCATGGGGGTCTGCCATTGTTCGCACGGCTTAGTTCTGAGCCCCTACAACGATAACAGAGAAAATGCAACGGACCGCGCGAGAGGGTATACCTACCTACCTACTACCTACCTACAGCCAACAGGGCGAGGCTGTCGATGGCAACACTCTCCAATAAAGTGAATCCCTCTACGCTTGGAACAACCCTACTGCTGTTCCTCCACCTCTTCCTCTACTTCCTCTCAATGGCAGTGCTAGCTTCGATGGTGGTACTTGCTAGTAGTGGACGTTGATACTGCCAGCATTGCCTCTCTGTCGTTCTCTCTTTCCGATTTCGTTCTATCCAGCCAACTACTAGTGACAATAACGAAATTTTCTCTAGTGGACGTAAAAAATGGTAGGAAGGAAGAAGGAAAAAGTTTTGTGAAGCCCGCATGACAAGGATATGAGAACTGAGCAACTTCTTTCGTACATACGAGCGTTCTTGTTTCTAGAGTAAACATAGAGACATCTCGGAAAAGATGCTTTTGGATTAATTAGATATTAAACCTGAAGAAAGTCTGTAAAATATTTTCTTACATCCTTTACTTTATTTGTATCACTTATGGAAAGTACGTAAGTAAGGACAGTCGATTTGTTCTTGAGTAAAGTACGAAAGTTTAATGAGTTACTCATTGACTGCCATGCTTCGCAAGGATAATAGAAAGAAGTGGTAAAGAGAGAGAGAGAGAGAGAGGGAGAGAGAGAGAGAGAGAGGCGGGGGAGAGAGGGGGAAATGAAAGGGAGAGAAAATAGCAGAGAAATGTGCGAAGAGATAATGTACCGCTAGTGTGTATGTTAGGGAAGTATGCTAGCAAGAGGCGAGAGTAATGGAGGGGGAAGAAGTACGAAAGAGTAATTAGTCGTTACCATATTCGTTGGAATAACGAGACGAACTGATGTGGAGGAGTGTTTGAGTGAACTTCACAAGTCACAGAAATTACAGCGTTAATTACAAGATTCGCTGCATCTTCACTAATAGCAACGATTCCATCTTATTAATTCGGATATAATGTCCGCATGGATGAGCATCGTATGAACTCATGATACCGAAAATAAACTCTAGAAGCATAAAGAAATAGATGTTACAAGTAGTTAGTTGATACTTAGTGAAACAAATCTAATGATAATTATGTACTCCTACCTATTTTATCTGAGAGAATATAGGATAGATAATTACATAATAGATTTTATTAATTAGATAGAAAGAACTTTTGATTCGTGGATTTTATAAAAAGCGAGTTGCATCAAAGAGTTGTATCGAATCGTTATAATAAGACGCAGCTGTTTCAGTCTAAAGCAGTAGTATAGTGGCTTTAATTTTGTTACAGCCTAAAGAGACACGATTGTTTTATGTTGAGGTGCTTATCAGACTAGCGCCACCAGCTAATTGGGTTAGAGCCTCTCTTTCTTCCTATTATTCGTGGACGAAATTCGAACGACATGTCTTCTGTGGATAAGAGGAGTCGAGACGGTTGGGTGCTGAGAGGGATTGAAAGAAAAGTAGGGTGAGAGGAAAGCAATGTTATCGGATTCCGTGCGTGCCGTATGCAGAGGCATTGATTGCTGGTGCTGACCGCACAATCACACCACCCTCTCTCTCTCTCTCTCTCTCTTTCTCTCTCTCTCTCTCTCTCTCTTCTACAGCAACCCCTCTCGTAGCTTGACAGCGATCGACAGATTCCCATGTCGAGACCAGATCTCACTGCACGTTTTGTTGCTCTCGTCTGTTTTCGCTTGACTTTTTTAATGCGACAGCACGACAACCACCCCTTTTGTGAGTCTATTATAATCATGCTTTAAAAGATGAAGGATCCGCACCAATATATATATAAAGAAAAACTGATTAGTGGAAAACTCTATCTTCCTTTCCATGGAAACCATCTCATATTTCAATCTTCGTGCTTTTCTTTATGTAGTCGTGTTTAATAAGTTCAAAATAAGGAAGATTAGGTTTCTGGCGACGTATAGAAAATTACCGATTTGATGTTATTTTCGAACATAATAGCTTTCGCAATAACGAGAATGTTGTACTTTTGTAAAGAGTGATGGTTATTAGTTAAAAAGTTATTTAAAATCGAGCATACTATATCTTTTAATGTGAAATCTAAAACAATTTTTTAAAAGTAATAATTATTTCTTAGGTTTTCACGAAGTAGGTAGAAACACACGTATCTTTCATTGTAGATATTTTATTGTAAAATAACGAGATGTATATGCTTTGCAATAAAAAAAGAAAAAAGAGACAAAATAAATACGCGTATCGATAACTGCACGTACTTGAAAAAGTCAGAAATCGGCTCAATATTTTCGTTTCTTTTTGGCATTGACCTCGAGGCTAGAATAAAAAATCGGAAAAGCCAGGTAGAGGGAATGGATGGAGGATGTATATATGTAGTCAGAGGAGGGAGGACGTTAACCAATATTCTGGCTTTCGGCACCGCTAGGATTTAAAGGCTGGTTTGGCTGCGCGTATGGAAATTTATGAGACTATTTCGCATGTAAGCACTAACCAGGTGTGGCTACGCATAAATTTTGCATCCTTGCACGTATATTTCAAGACCCTTTGCTCCTCTTCTCTTCCTGTGCTACTCTTCCCTTAGTAGGGTAGGTGTGAGCTAACTTAGCAGAAGTTACCTGCCTGGTATCTCATTCTCCCTCCTCGTTTCCTACCATCTTCCTTTTCCACCGTGCCTTTTCTCCCTTCTTCCGTCTCTCTCTCTCTCTCTCTCTCTCTCTCTCTCTGTACGTCTTATATACGTTACAGTTAACCCTCTCTCTCTTATTCTTCGCTAGAAGATAGTATCCCTAAATCACCCCCTCCTCAAATGCCCTGGAGCACCGAAGCTTCCTTCTAATTGCACCACGCTACGTTTAAATTACTTAAACCCCCCAGTTACTCCGCACTCCTCGTCTTGGACGGCCTCAAATTAGTTTCAGATAGGCGAAAAGAATGACGCGCGTTCGCTTGTGAGAGAACTCGGCAGAGGAACACAGAAGAATCTTGCTGGGAATGCTAATTTAAACTAGATCCCATTTACGTCGAATTCGTTTCCTTCCTTTCTTCTCTTGCCTTCCGTTATCTTCTTGCGATTTCTAGTGCGTCTAATTGTTTTTGGTTTCATTCTCCCCTTCTTCGCTTTCTTTTTTGCGCGTTGTGTGTTACATTTATCAATGCATATCTGCTGTTTCCTCTAACGATTTTTCTTGAAGTATTCTACTCGTAATTTGGTAGCTTTCTAATCCGTATTGCTCCTCGGACTTATCGAATAATCTCACGTGAAGTCGCCCGGGGGCACATCCAGAGACACATCCTCATTCCGGACAAAATCAACCGCAGGGATGAAACGCACGGCTGCGACCAATCACGTTTGCAATTAAAGGCAAAGCCGCAGCCGCGGGGAGAACTCACGAAGGACGTTCAACGGAGGGAAACATCTCTCGTATATGCTTGTCTCTCTTGAGCGCAATGGCGACACACTCTCGAGGCGTCCTTTTAAATACGTGACCTGTAAATAATTGCATGAAGGGACAAAGCACGTGCGCAACCGGACTCGGAGCGAATAGTGTACCGTTAGCTTGTATGATAGAAGGTCTCTTACACGTGTATAAGTACACATGTAGCTATATATTCACAAAATATTCTACATATACATAAATGCACCTCAGTGTACTCATATCCAGTCTCTCTCTCTCTCTCTCTCTCTCTCTCATTCTTTCTCTAGTGTTCTCTTTATCTTTTGTCTCTTTTACCAGACTAATCTTCCTCTACTTTATGTGATTAGAGATCCTTGAGAAAATCTGCACGAGAGTAGATTTCCAACAACTGCTGGCTGATACGTGCTGTCGTCGAAACGACGGAAAACGATACTGTAGCGAATATTCAACGTCGACGTTGATTAAAATATTACGTTTATGATACAACGTTTCGCTCAAGCAAAACGGGCGTCTGCTCGTCTACATCGAAGCACCTCGGAAAACGATGCTCTAAACGTTTCTATTTCATTGTTTCGCGCTTCTGTCGTAATTTGAGAGTAAAACGATATATGTACTGGAGAAGGAAATCGATATCTTTGTAATCGAATTCCGCCATTGTGTTGAATTAACTGCTGTTATTTTTTAACTACATTGCGGCGATCGAATTTGCGATTCTACGTTCCAGCGTTCACGATACGAGTTTGTACTTTCATACGAGAAAGAGAGAGAGAGAGAGGGAGAGAGAGAGAGGGAGTGGGAGGGAGGACGGAAGGGAGGGAGGGAGGGAGGGAGGGAGAGATATCGAAGCAGCCCTGTCGACGGAATCGGTTTTAATTTTCATAAAATTCAATACCCATCCATTTTGCGCTTTCACCATTTTTATGGGTGCCATGCGACACATTTCATGCGCATCCGCGTGTGTACGAGATGGAAAAGTCAAAAGGGATGAGGAATACGTGAGGATGGTGAACCGCAACCTGGTTGACGAAGCTATTGTAGCCTCATAGAAATCAAAATCGATCTTTTCTCGTAATCGACTACGAGTAATGTATATGTACTTCCTATTAATGGTTTGAGTGAGACTCATGTTTTAGTGATTTTTATTATATAATTTTATATGATTATACGAAAAAATTATGAATATTTTTTCTTTATCGAATCGTCAGAAAATTCTTTTTTTAATAATGTTATATCGGATGTTATCCAAAGTCAACGTTAAATTACACAAAACTTTGAATACAAAAGTTTACAACTTTGTAAGAGTATGGACTTTTAAAGGAAAAATGGTAAAAGGGCTACGATAAGGAGAAGCGACAAAGGAAAAAGGCAGAAAATTCTAGGGCTCTTTTACGTCTGCAGAAGGATTCCCTTCGTAGCATAACGTTTTGGTAGATTCGGATTGAAGTTCGTACGTAACTCCACTCTGTCGGTCCTCCTTCTTCTCTTCTCTCTCCCTTCTGCCATCCATAATCGTGTCTTTTGAATACGTTCTCTGTTCAGCCTCGCCATCCTTGAGTCTATCCACCAGCGGGAAAACCAATTCCTGACAGATATCCGGGTGACATCTTCCCCCTCTTTTCTTCGATATAACGCTGCAGTCAAACCTCGAACGTCGTTTCGTTCGCCGGCAAGAGTGCGGAATAACGAGGCACGTTACGCGCTTTTCACGACGTTCCGTGTACGCGTACGGCGTACGATTTGACGGGAAAAAGAGAAGAAATAAGGGGGAAGAAGAGTTGAGAGATGCTCGGAATTTGTTTTATTTATACTACCACCTTTCCCTATCTGACATAAGCAAAAGGAAAGATTCGCGAAGAAAGAAAATGTGGGAA